GTCACCAAAAAAACAAGGAAATTAAGCTGATTCAAATCGACCTGCCGCTATCCGCCATATACAAGTGCCTTCTGTGTGATTGTTACGCATTCGAATGCTCAAGGAACACGTTCCAACCACCCGCTTCGAATGTTATCACTCCATTGAATGGACGTAATCATTAGCCAGTAGGCCCATTGATATGGTTCAGTAGGGACCTCCTGTGCCTGCTAGAAGGTTCAGAATGTGGTTGTCGTCCATTCCTGTCGTTTATCACCCAGACCAATAAGGAGCCAGTGATGTCCGCGCGTGATCAGTAGCCAGTAGGCCCATTGCTATGGTTAAGTACGGACCTCCTGCACCTGATGGAAGGTTCAGAATGTGGTTGTCATCCATTCCTGTCGTTCATCACCCAGACCAATAAGGAGCAAGGGATGTCCACCAATTGCGAGTGACAACAGCCACTGAAACGCGAGGATTTGCGGACGCGCTTCATTCCGGCAGTGCCATCAATCACGTAAGCATCTTTTCATCATATAGCTGACTAAGACAAACATTTGAGTAGGACTGGTGTTGTGATCGCCTTTGAAGCTCACGATTCTCGACCATTTTCGCCCTTAGCGAAAATATAGCATTGGTTTGTTGTTTTGCTTTAATTTGCTTTATCACGGACACAAGTGGGCCGTCGCCTAAGGCGACAACGTGCTAGCTAGCTAGCGAGGTTAGTAGCTAGCTTTCTAGCTAACAGCTAACTTGTTCATGTCGCATCGTGAGCTAAGTAGCTAACGTTAGCTAGCTAGCTAATCTTGTCTGTAGCGCTGCATTTTCGCGTTTTTTTAATTAAATCAGCTGAAAAACGCGCATCTTGCTGCTCAAATGGCTGCTTTTAAATCTAATGCAGTTGGAGTAACTTTATCTAGCTACCGCATGCCTCAAAGCTAAGCTAAACTAATGCTAACTAATTGTAACGCAAGCGTTCAGCTGCTTCTTTCGGCCGAGTACTGCTAACGCTAGCTAGCTATGTCGCTAATCCTGCTAATGTTTGTCAAGTTGTGCTGCATGTGAACTCAGCGCATCATCGAGATACAGCAGCCCTTCTGTGTGATCACAAAAGATGGTCCACTTTCACTTTACTGAAGTGCTCATTTTAAATAATTGTAGACTTGATCTAAGTTTTTAGACCTAAGCTTTTAGGTTTTGTAACTAGCATGTCTAATAATTAATTTTTCTTCTTTTCCAGACGGCGTTCATTCTTAGCCAGCCAGCCATCTATCTCCTCACTCCAACCGCTCTTTTAAGAGCCACTTCTCTTATTTGTTTATCTGTCTGTCCTTCATTTTATTCCTCTCTCTCTCTGTCTCTCTCTCTATACCCCCACCCCATTTTCTGTCTTTCAGTTCTTCATCTGTATGTAGCTCAAGGTAAGTTGTGTAGAAATGTCAATAAAAACTAAATGGAAAGAGTGTATTTTAGTTTTAGTCACTATACCATTATCAAAGCATGAAAATTGTTTAAATCATAAAATCAAATCCCAAGTAGTCAGCAGTTTAGAGTAGTTTTGGGGTATGTAACATGTTTGCTTTGTTGAAACTGAAACAATTAGGGGGATGTCCCTGTTTATGCAAAGACTGTTAGTAAACTCTTGGCCTAACTGGCAGTTAGTGTCATGTAGGTAACAAGTACTTTATTGTGATTAGTGCTATGATATTTACTGCTCAGGTTCTGACAGCTAAATGCTTCTGTCAGTAGAGTACAGGTTGTGAGGGAGTGTTGTTGTATTTCAGGGTTAGAATGGCACAGAGCAAGCAAGGAGGTAATGTTTCTAATGTTAGCCAACTTCCATGTTGAGGTTACTGACATCCTCAGGTTGGATAGTATTGAAGTTTCTTACACAGTTTAATCGTTAGAATTTCCAGAGACTGGCTGGCTAATCTTTATGTAGTGTAGGGGTAGTGTTATTTGCTGGTAAAACAGGCATTACAACCTAATATAAAGAAAATACACAGTTAACCTCCTTTCTTTCATATTTTACCAAAAGCACAAGATGAGACGATCATTGATATATGATCTGTTAATTTATGTAGTTAAATATGACCTGTTCAAGGTTAGACATTGTTTAAACTGCCTTCGCTTTCATTCTTTTGGGGAAGCAAATGAAACTTTGCTTACCAACAAGAGCATGTTGAGGGCTTAGTCTTTGTCAGTGTTGTGTGTGTGTGTGTGTGTGGGTTTTGGAAGTAGTGTATGTCAATTTATATGGCTTCTGTAATGATTGTGAACATGGTTTTTATTTTGTTCATCTTTTCAGAAAGAACAGCCTTGAGTGAAAGCCAGAAGTCGACGCTAAAGTCCCTGTTTGATCAGGGCATGAACAGAGTTGGTTCACCCCTCATCAGCACTGCTGTTGCAACAACAGGACTTCAGCAAAATGTTGTTGAGGTGACATTTATTGGTTTTAGTCTTAAGCACTATTTGGATGAGGGTAGTTTTACCCACCTCCTCATGGAATACTGGTTTACCACAGGATGTCCATAACGTTTATGACTGATCCACACTGGATGAGAAATCTCGGTATAAATGACAGATATGGGAGTGGCTACTAGATTTGTACATTGCAGAGTAGAAAACTTGTAAAATAAAAAATTCGCTGTTATTTTGTTTACACTAACCATCTGCCTTTCTATTTGGGTGCACTGTGTCATTAGCATTGTCATTAGCTTGGGAATTCATGACCAGCCGCCAAGATCACTGCATGAAATCAAACTTTTTGTGTATTTTTTTTTCCTGTAAGTTTAAAGTTCTGAGGGTGAGGTAGGACACTACATATACATTTACAAAGGTAAACACATCAATGAGTGCCTCCATACTGAAGGAACTCCTTTTCCACAGAATATGATGGCATTTTTGCAGATCTGTCAGTTTGCACCTGGGCTTATTTCTACTTCATGTTTAATCGAAAGTAAAAAGTGCTGAAATCTCTACTGATAGTTGTTTTTACTGACTGTGCGCTCAACCGACATGGCACTAAAATGGGACTAAAATCATTAAGAAACACTGCTAAAAATTACATTATCCACCTTCTCATGTAAAACTAATCCTGTTTAAGTGTTTTGCTGTCATCAGCACATGCATTTGTCTTGCATGGTTGTAAACCAAAATCATTCTGTCATGCTGAGGTATTATGTAGTTTTTGTGATGCTTCTGTTTAAATTAATGAATGTTTCTAAGAACTGGATAGGCAACTATAAAAGAACTTCACATCCTGCAGCTGTTGCGTCGAAGGTAGCAAAGTCTAGACTGCATACACGAGAGCTGTCGGCATACAATTTGTTCTGTCGTGACCTCTTTGTAAATAAGGGTAAGGGCTGATGTGGTTTGTAACATTCCTTTTTATACTTCTTTCTACACTAGTGTGTAAACATTCAGAGTCAAATTTTTAAAACCACTTAATGATATTCATGCTGATGCTTGTGAATGTATCCTACAGAAGAAGTCTTGCATCTATTTTGTCCACATTTTAGAACCCATTTTTTAAAACGTACTGCTTTTGTCTTAAGGCACAATGAAAGACATCAGAAGCAGGTGGAGCAGTTTAGGGGAAGACGAGAGGAACAAATATATTCAAGAGGCTGCAGACTTGAAAGCACAAGAGCAAGCAGACCAGCTTAGTTCTGAAATGAGAGCTCAAAATTAGGAAGCATCTGAAGCAACTAAAAGTCGAGGTGTGGTGATTCTAAATGCATTAACGTTTTTAATTAAAAGCAGTTTAAGGAGTTAAGTTGTTTTCTGATGTTTCACAGTAAATTAAGTAACATTTATTGATGCGCTCAAAAATTGTCTTGTCTGTGACAAGGTGTCGAAGCTAGAAGAACTTGGAGTGGAAACGGCACTTATGATGTTTGACTGCCTCAATCCACAAGCTGCCGTCCATGAAGTATCCAGTAAGAAAGCCAGTGAATTCCTTGAATCAACTGGAACAGGAAACAAGTTCGGGCTGTATTTTGCAGGTGCAATCACAAATCTAATCATGCTTTTGCATTACATTCACATTTACTGCATTTAGCTGATGGTCTTATTTAGAGTGCCTTACAAAAGTCTCGTTATCCACTCAGGTAACGTATCCTTACTAGTACAAATAGTTTATTCCAAACTATCCTTTAGATAAGAAACAAAAGCCAGTGCTAATATATAGAAAGAAAGAATTAAACATTGCATAAGTGCAGTGTAATGCATTTCAATGCGTACTTAGATTAACGCTCGTTTAAGTGCTTCAAAAAGAGATGTCTTCAGTCTGCATTTGAAGACCGCGAGGGACTCTTCTGTACAGTCAGTGTAAGTTTGTTCACCACCTGGGTGTTAGGACAGAGAAGAGTCTTGATGCTTGTCTTCCATGTATCTTGAAGAATGGTGGGTCAACCTGAGCTGTACTTGAGACTGAGTACTGATTGATTTGATCATTGCCATAAGGTAGGGAGGGGCTTTGTAGGTAAGCATAATTGTTTTAAATCTGATGCGTGCAGCTACATGAAGCCAGTGAAGGGACTGCAGCAGTGGAGTAACATGAGTGAAGTTGGAAAGATTAAAGATAAGCCATGCTACTGCATTCTGTATCAGTTCCAAGGACCTGATGGCCCATATGGGAAGACCAGCCATAAGAGAGTTGCAGTAGTCAAGCCTTAAGATGACAACAGACTTAACAAGCACCTGGTTGGCCTCCCGAGAGAGAAAGTGTTGAATCCTCCGGTTGTAGAGGAGAAACCTGCACGATCAAGTCAGTGAGGTTCTGGATGACAAGTTATAGTTCTCAGCCAGTACAGCAAACCTAAGACTTTTTGCATCTTCAGATGGAACAAACAAGGAGTTCTCAAGTGAGATGACAAGAACATGGTGAGGACCTGTAGTTCCAGGGATGAATAGCAGCTCAGTCTTGCTAGGATTGAGCTTCAGGTGATGAGCTGCCATCCATGAAGAGATGTCAGTCAGACATGCCGAGATGCGACTGGAAACCTGAGTGTTGGAAGGAGTGTTAGTTGGGCGTCATCAGCATAGAAGTGTTAAGAGAAGCCATGAGAGGATTTTACATCTCCAAGAGAACAAGTGAAAAGAGAAAATGACCCAGGAGCCTGCATGGAGCAGATGTGGA